CAGAAGAGTCTTGTCAGAGGCTAAAATGCCCAATTTTCATTATCTGTTCCTGTTTTAGAAATTAAAAAAGATTGTTTATAAATCTCTGCAAGCCTCAACACAGCAGAAGTTTCAACATGTACAAAATATGACATTTTTTTCAATTCAATTCAATTTTAGTTATATAGCACCAAATCACAAAAACAGTCGCCTCAAGGCGTTTTATTCTATTGTAAGGTAAATCCTACAATAATACATACAAAGAAAAACCCAACAATCATATGAGTCCCTATGAACAAGCACTTTAGCAACAGTGGGAAGGAAAAACTCCCTTTTAACAGGAAGAAACCTCCGGCAGAACCAGGCTCAGGGAGGGGCGGCCATCTCATCTCATTTTATCTGAGAACATATACAGTTTACAGCCATATTTTTTTTTGCAAACAACACCTACGTGAATAATAATTTAAATACATCAATTTAACCGTTTTGGGTAATAATCAGAATTTAGTCAGATTTTAGGTTTGCATCTACAAAATTAACTAATATTTGATTCCACTTCATTCTAACTGCACATTCTGCTCATATGAGATCGTTAACATGGCAACTATTACAGCTGCCAAATATCATTCTGAACATGTTGTCAGACTTAGATTAAGCCTGAGGTTTGGCTGGTTTTTTATTTTATTTTGAGCCTTGCTTGAGTCTTAAGCAGCTGTAGATAATTTCACAGTGATTAACTCTCTCATCTATAATGTATTTAATGCACACACCTCATTATCAATGTGCATAATAAATTAGTAACACGCATACTGACTCTAGGTATGTACTTAAAATTCACTTATTACAACTTACACAGGATCACCAGCGCCTTTGCAAAGCTTTACACGAACTGTAACAACACTGCTAATCCTGGCTGATAAGCACCATATGCGCTGGAACAACGTCTTTCTTGGTGCATTGGTCTAGGTTTTCTTATTAGATCAGACACCATTTAAAGAGAGTAGGTTAGTTGATTATACGTGGCACTTATAGCTATTATGTAAACTGATTCCAGATGTCCCATTTGACTCATGCTAGGCTCTTATAATTCAATCCTGCTGTAAACGTCAGTTTGACCCAATTATGAAAAGTTATCTGTCTGTCGTTGGGTGCTGGAAATACACCACTTCCCAATGTCATCCAGTCTGTTTTAGCTATTTTTGCTCAGGTAAACCTGATACAAGTCTGGAGGTAAAAGAGTTAGCTGTTGCCTCACCGCTACCACCATTACAAAATGTAACATGTTTACTTTAACAGCTTTTTCACATCTCTAATGTTTTTATACAATCATATTCCAAGTGTAGGACAATTTCCTCCTTTTCCTCCTGTGCCGCCCCTATTTAAATCTTAGGTAGAGCTCCTGCTGCCTATGTCTAGACAATAAAGTCTTTTATAAAACCTTAAGCCTAATATCTTCCTGCTTGGGATGGCAGGTGAAAGTATAATCAGCTGTTGTAGCCTGGCGACCCAGTTTCATAGATCATCCTTCAATCCAGACTGCCTCCAGCTGTTCTTTTTGTTTATCGCTATTTTTACTCATAAACTGTGTCAATCAACAATCACCCCAGTTTTTGTAATTTCCACTAAGCTTACACACTATAGTTCTCTTAAAAAGGTTTATTTTATTTTTTTTCACCTTTTGCCATTTAATAGGAATAAATAGAACAAAGTAGCATACCTTTTCATGGAAAGCCTAGTATTGCAAAAAAAAAAAAAAGAAGAAGCCCAGCTAGAACTGCAAGAACAAAGTGAGTTGAAATGTGCACACCTTTTGTTTGATTTAAGTCTTCATGCTTGGTTTGGATACCCATGGATAAATATTTGCCAACATCACAGTGAAAAATATACAAATGCTTGCATTAGAACAATAAATTGATGTGTATCATGTCACATTTACTAAAATAACAGTTTTCCCTGCAATGTCTTTCTACTTTGAGTGGTTAACTTTAATTGCGGTTTGAGACACAAGGAAAATCTTTGTCTTCTGCAGTTGTTTTTGCAGTGAAACAGTGTAAAATCTTCACCAGTACAATCTAGGTGAGTAAAATTGCTGAGTGTAATTATGTTATTTTTGTAGATAGTGCCAACAGTTGCATCAAGGTACTTTATAGTAAATATCCTATAATACCCTATAATATCCTATAATAATACAGAAAAAATGTGTATGTGCTTGTATCTGATTGTATGAGCAATGTAGGAGAAACAAAAACAAGACTTTCTGTGAAAAGCTGGGTGTAAAGTACCATCTAACCTCACCTTGCACCCTAGAAAATGTACCCCAAGGCATTTGAGCTGAAATGAGCCATAACTAATCATGTGTCCATCCCCCAGAGTTATGAGTAAAGAGCAAAACATCCATTTAAAGGTGGGGTGACATCAGCTTAACTGTCAATCGTTCAAGCATGACTTCATGTTCTATAAAAAAAGGAAAAAAATGGGGGGAAGACAAAAAGATGCAGAAAAAAAATGCTGGGCTGGCAAAAAGTAGGCAACACAGACTTCTGAAGGGACATCCCAGCTCGCACACAATCGTCCTCCCACCAACAACACACGCTCCATCTTCTCGGTTGCACCAGTGACCAAGGTGCAGCCTTGGGGGAAATCAAAAGAATAACAATACAAGAAACAGGGCTAGGCTGGGCTTTTGCTTCAGACCACTGAGACTGCAGACAATCATCAAAGCTAATCATTGGAGGAGCACAAGAACCAAAACTCACCTGGTCGAATGAAAAGCAGGTAAAGATGATTTTGGCTTTCATTTACAATGAGTCTGTTTGAGAGAGTAGTGGAAAGAGTTCAGAGAATTTGCAGATTTCTGATGAGATTGCTCTTTATCTTTGATATGGCTTCACTTTACTAACCTCTATTTAAAAACCTACACTTATTATCTCTTCTTATGATCATGATTGAGCTGGGCACTTTTTAAACCAATTTAAAGCCGTTTTACTAACACACTCACACCTAGAAAGGACTGAACCGCAAAGAAACAACTGTGGTACTTTTGAAGTTTCCAAATAAACATCTTGGAAAGTCGCATTTACTGCCAAACCTGTTTTTTTTTTCACGTAACAATTACCCATAAAAACATTTTTTTTGTCCTTTGTGGACACAGAAAGTCATGCCAACTCTTCCAAATATTTCAAAGTCATGAAGAGGATTTCAACAAATGGAAATAATCATGCAAAACTCATACATTGCAAATAAAAGCCATTGTGTAATTAACATAGCTGGCTCTGACACAAAGCCCCTGGCAGGAAGCCCCTTAGTCTGTCAGGCAGATATTACCCAACATTTGTTTTTAGTAAATACAGTTTCCACTTTGCAGATCTATGAAGCCATGACTCATTAAAAACTAAAAACAAAATAACAATAGACGATCTCTTAACCTTTTAATACAGAGAGCATTTCTGAGACCTTAATGTGTTTAGCTTCTCTCTCTTTGGGGGATCCTGTAAAATAGCACATTTGTGTGTAAAATGAATGAATCAAATTGACTTTATCCCCATGTTGCTCATTGGCCATAGTAAAGTAGCACAGGGAAAGCATATTTAGAGTACAACATTAACAGACTGTGTTGCAAGTAAATCAATTTCAGTGTCTGCAGTGTGTGCAAACACAGTAGTCTGATAGAAATGCATCGAATTGGACAAATTGGACAGCTCAACATGCCATTATATGTCTTTTATCACAAGTAAAGGAGCCGCTTTTTGGCTAACCCAGTAAAGGCACTGCTAAGGCACTGAAATGTGTGCCCTTTCAGCTATTCTAGATAGCAACTTGCCTTTTATGCATAATTCCTCCGAATGTGCTTGGGACAAATGTCTGGCTGTTTAACTGATCGTAGAGGATCACAAACATGTGTTAAGGAATAATCACTGTGCACAGGTGCACATTGGAGCTCTAATGGGTTTGCATGGCTGATCATGGATGAGAGTTGCTCCTATCCTCACAAGTGAGCTGGGATTATCCTGTTGTATTCGAGGCTCTGCCGTCACTGCCAGAATTGAGCACAGTCTTATGCTCGCATGTTGAAAGGTCACCAATTCTGATGTAAGCGAGCTTCAGCAAAACATTTTGCAAGGCCAGCCTGCAGTAGAATCTCCTCAGCTTAAGCATGACTTCCCTCCCATAACCTCTCATGTCTTCCGGCAAGGTTTTGTACTTAAGCAGAGTGCGTCAGCTTTGTGCTTGATGCTTTAGCAGTAATGCAGAAAAACGTGCCTCCCCTCTTAATAATGTCAAATTTGCTCAGGAAAATCCTCATGTTTTAAAATTCAACTGGATTGTGGCATTTTCTATGAGTATCACCTTTTGCTCCTTCTCTATGGTAATTTCAAAGTATTGTCCGATTCCTGCAGGTTTTTTAGATAATGCTCTGTTCCATCCCAGTATTTTTGATTAAACTATGGATATTTCTATCTTAATAAAGGAGCATTATATTTCCTTGAAGTCTTATACTACTTGAATTATTCAGAATAAGTTAAACTGAGATTTATATCCCCAAGCAATTCCCTCCCACATTCTTTTTTTCTGCCATCTGTGCAGACAGGGTTGACAACTCTTGACTTTCTGTACTTATTTTAAACATTGATATGGAGGTGGAGATGATCATCTGTACATGACAAATATACTGAGCTGTATGTGTGTGTACTTTTTGTTTATCCCACTAACTGCATTCACATAGTGGACAACCAATGAATAAAATTAGCACAAAAGGTTGATTAAGGACTCTTAAAGTGGCATTAAATCAATTATACCAGCAAAGGTTTTACATGTGGAAGTCAGCAAACTAAGGACAGGTATATTTGCATTCTAAGTGTGCCATGGCTCAGGTACTGAAAAGGCTTAGGACAGTACACATCTATTAAGGATTATGACCATTGATCCTGGGAGACTCTAGCTGGCCAAGAGAAGCTTTAACGTCATCCTGAGTGACAGGCTTGCACACCATGAATGAAAAAGCCAGCAGTACAAATAGAGGGACGTAAAAGCCATCCTCATCATTTGAGACCACACTTGATAGGACTCCACAAAAGGAAACTTTACGGGCTAAAGGTAAGATAGACTGGACTGCAAGGCAAAGACATGTATACTGTCTGAATTATAGGGTTGATGGTTGTTAGTTGTTAATCTTGCAGCTTTAGTAACTGGGTTTAAACTTTATAAAAGCATGAATTACATTGCTGCCAATGCACTAAGTATTCTACTCCAAAGCTAATTGACAAAGCTTTGGCTTTTCTACAGTGAAAAATGAGGGGCACATCTCCGAGCAGAGGTTATCCGCCTTTGTCTTTGAAGTGTGGCCATCTATGGAAAGCAACCCGAAATGAGTTCCAGACAAACATGGAGTGCATCAAGAATTTAAACAAGCACCAGATGGTAGCTGAGAGGAATCAAGTTGTGGCTTAGAAGATGAGTGGATAGAAGATGGCAAAGCTGACTTTGGATTTTTGTTTGTTCTTGTTTTCATTTATTTTTTACTTCTTACTTGCAGAGCTTTCAATCTATTGCTTTTCTGCAACATCACACCTTTAATCTTCCTTTACGCCTGTCAGGGGTTAGCACCATTTGCATGTTTAGTTGAATATGTTTTTATCTGCATGCATCACTGCATCAGATATGCAGACTGAAGCTGGCATGCATTGACACGTGGGAGAGCTTCTAGACTGACCTAATACAATTAAAGTTGACCTGGATTTGTTTCCGGTGTTTTGAGACTTAATTGGAAGGCAAGTAAACCCCCGGATGAGTGGACTACTTCTCAGCTGGCTGCTTGCCTTCATAAATGAATTAATGATGGAGTAGGTGGTGGGGACTAATTTGGGATTTATTTCAAACACTTAGTACACTAATCCAAATGTATTTGCTGATAGCCATGATTTATATATTCTACCTGTTATTAGACATATTGCATCAAACATCTTACAAAGACCGTTGCTAGTAAAGGGGGTCAGAAGTTACTGCATTCTTAAGGCAGTGTGGAATAACTGCTCAACATTTTTTAAAGGAAAGACATTTGTCTGTAGAGCTTCCTGACTGTAATACTCTCTTCTTTTTTAAACATTTCTAACGCAGGCTGAGCAGCAAAATGGAACTTCTACTGAAGCTTCTCAGCATCTGGTGCCTGATTGGGCTAACTGTCAGCCAGGACATAACTTACGAGGAACATATTGCCCAGATTCAAGCCTGCCCTAAAGAGTGTCGCTGCCCAACGAACTTCCCTCGTGCTGTTTACTGTGACAATAAAAACTTGAAGAATATCCCTAAAATCCCTCCATACACATGGTACCTGTATCTGCAGAGCAATATGATTGAAGTGCTGTCAACAGATGCCTTGCAGAATGCCACCCAGCTGCGTTGGCTGAACCTTAACCGCAATAAAATCACTAGTGAAGGCGTGGAAGAAGGTGTCCTCAGTGCAATGACTCACCTGGTGCACCTGTACATGGACGATAACCTCTTGTCTTCAGTGCCATCACAACTCCCAGCCAGCCTGGAGCATTTACGTCTGTCTCGCAATCGAATCTCCAAGATCCCTGCAGGTGTCTTCGTCGGCCTGGATAAACTTACTCTTCTGGACCTCCAGGGTAACAAGCTGATGGATGACGCTGTGACTGAAGTCAGCCTAAAGGGTTTGAACAACCTGGTACAGATCAATCTAGCCAAGAACCAGCTGAGTACCATGCCTCTTGGGCTACCACCTTCTACCACCCAGCTTTTCCTTGATGGCAACAACATTGAGAAGATCCCAGCTGGCTACTTCAAAGGTTTGCCAAAAGTGGCATTTCTGAGGCTCAACCACAACAAGCTTGCCAGCAGTGGAGTCCCCAAAAATGTGTTTAACATCTCCAGCATTTTGGACTTGCAGCTGTCCCACAACCAGCTGACTGATGTTCCTCTCATTCCCTCAGGCCTTGAGCATCTTCACCTTGACCACAACAAGATCAAAAGTAAGCCTAGGTGTATTATTTTCTGCTTAATCAGAAATCAATTTAAGCTGGAATTACTTAAAGGAAAGTTCTTTAGAATTTTTCATTTGGACTCTATCCATTCTTATTACATTAACTCCCTTTTTTTTTAATTTACAGCTGTAAGCGGCTCAGGTGTCTGTCCCGTGTCTGTCGAAGATCTGGGCGATTCACTTAATGAAAGTGCTCCTCGACTCCGCTACCTGCGACTGGACGGCAATGAAATTCAACCACCAATTCCCAGAGATGTCATCATGTGTTTCCGTCTCCTTAGGTCTATTGTCATCTAAACAGAAAAACGAACATTGTTTCTTAGGCCAATTCTTATTTTCCACAAATGATGACTTGACCTTGAAGTTGATTTGGTAAATAAGAATTGTGAAGCCATACATATTTGCATGTTTGTAAAGTATCTGACATTAGTTGGCATGAACTTATTGTATTGTTGTGTCTTGGAAACAGCTTTTTTAGTTAAGTCTGAATAAGATCTAAAAGACACTACTGATGGGTTAGAAGCTTTAATTGTGGTTATTGACAGCTAGCTGTGCCTTATGCAGGTGTAAACAGCTGCATGAATACTTCTGAACCAAAATGTAACTGTACATGAATAGGAGGACAATATGTATTTATGGCATGTAAAAAGCTTGGAGACTAATTGTCATTATGCGATATTGAACAGAAGCTAAAGCTTCTAAATGCAAAATCAAAATACAACTTTTATTTTTTTTTCTATGACTACTTTATATCTTTGGGCTTGAAGCCAAATAACTGGTCTTGTGTTCTTATAGGTGTGTGGTCTTGATTTTCTTCCGAAAATTACTCTATTCTAGAAATTTGCATATTTACTGTAGGTAATTTATTTTTATTTAATACTGGGGGAATAAAAGTGAAATCCTGTGAATATTCCTGGCCAACAGTCCTTAATGTTTTGTACACAACAATGTGAGAACTGTTTTTATAAAAAAAAAATACCAAGACACTTTTTAATTATGGCCATTTCTTTTTCTGAATAATTTGAGATAAGATGTCATTTGAATTGTCTTCAATTTAAATAAAACTTCTAAGAACAACTTTGTATCCTGGTGTTCCGTTTAACATAATATATCAAGCACTTTGGATCACTATAACACTGAAACAGTAATAATAATATATCCGTGCAAGGGTTTTCATGCACAGATAAAGTAAACATGTATTATATTATCAACCCAGATAACAGAAACATTTGTCCCACAGGACTAGCAAATGTTGTGTATGTTGTGTGGGCCAGACATGACCCAGCTGTCACAACACATTTGACATGCAACCCATATAAGGTGGACTTGTTGTTGAAAAGAGACTCAATAGTCAGCACTATCCGTCAAGGACTGTGGCCATTAGAAAATTGCAGATGTGAGCCACATTTAGGCCAAACATATTTTACTTGGGTAGTGCATGTGGTGATTAAAACATAAAATAATTCAAGGGACTTGTGATCAATGAGTAAAAATAATAAAAGAACCAACCTTAGGAATCATTATACTTTGTTAAACAAACAGTTTAGGAACTTTGATTAGTATTTATAACCTTCAGAGGAGCCACGTCCAATGTCAGATACTGATGTGCTATTTGCAAAAATATAGTTATAGATTTTGCAGTTTGTATTTATTTTAATTTATTAGCATGTAGGTACCAGACTAGATAGGGCTATGTAAAGAGTAGGCTCCTAAATATGTTAGCATACTAACAGTGACAGTATTAAAGATGGACATACCAGATAATCTGAAATCCAGTTTTGCATCCTTTAACATTTCTGCTGTCGCCATCTTGATTGCAAGAAACCAAAAGTGGCTAAAGACACTATAACCGTGAAACCACTTGCTTACTGGCTAATAGCTAATGAACTCAAAGAGAAGCCTTTTTGCAATCAAAAGTATAGCCATGTGGTAGCCTCCAGAAAGGATGCAAGTTTAAATCACTTCAACAATGGCTTTGTTTATTGGACCAGAAAGCTATGTGGGAGAGAAGCAGGAAGTAGCGATTTCTAAGTTCCACTGCAGCAGAACATTCTGACACCCCCCAAGTCGGTGTTACAACTCAGAAAGTTGGGGCAGCCACGCCAGACTAGCTAAAATTGCAATGTATTGACCAGGTTCTACTCAAGAACGTGATATATGATTCATGAATTGCTATTTTCTTGCTTTTTCAACTTTGCAACTAGAATTTTCTCTTCTTTGGAGTGACATCTGCATAAGCTCAAGTCAGTTAGCTAATTCAGCAATATTTCAAACACAGTTGCAATAGCTAAGATATATATGGAAAGACTGACTCATCTAATTTGAATAAGGTAATATTTAAAAAGTGTCAGTTGCTTGTAAATGTGACTAAAACAGCTAGCTAATAGCATTATGGCTAGCAGCTAAAATTGTTAGCTAAAAGTAACAGTTGACTAAACAAGATTTGTTAGTTATACGTAATAAAGTTGCTAAATTTAGTACGTGAATACCTAATATAGTAAGACAATGGTTATGGGGAAAGATGAGACATCTCATTAATGAGGCGTTTTGCACAATGTATTTGTCATTGTTAGGAAGGTTAAGTCTGCTAGCATGAAAATAACAAAGGTTGACATGAAAGGAAAATGTTTCTTTTCCCTCATTCTGAGCCACATTATTATAGCAAGACATTAAGTGGAATAGGGAAATAACGAGTTTTTAATTCTTTCCTCATCAAAATGTCACCAAGGTTTACCAACCCCTGGATCCAACAGGGCTTTGAGGGTAAGTCAAATGAGAGAGATTAGGAACCACTCACATAAATGTTCTGACAGGAGATCAACTTCAACACTTTTTAGGGTACTGTCCCATGCTTCCTGTGTGATAAATCATTGTCTCAGGTATGATATTTTGGGTAAAAGTTCATTGTGTTCTTTCCTCTAAAGAGTGCCTGGCAGAACAAAAGCTGTGGATATAAATCCCAGCATATATGGCAGGTTAGAGGTTTGCCTGTCATTCATCATAAGGTCTAGAGCTACCTCCTGAGGGAGAAGTGGACAGGTTCAGACAAAACTATTGCCAAATAATGCTGACTTGCTCTCTGTGTTTGCATGTGTGTATGTGTCCCATATTTATTTTAACAAGGGACATTAATGAGCCAGGCTGTCTTTGCAATGTCAGTAGAATCCCCTTAAATCTACATCAGGACTTTAGAAGAATCACTTGCCTTGGGGGTCTGAACCCTGATCAGAATATTTTCCATCAGTTAAGACATCCATAGTTCTCCTACAACTAAAATCAGGCTTGTAGTTAAAGCAGACCACTGAGCAGCTGATGGTGCAAAGAGAAATTTGCTTCAACCCAAAAGGAGGACAGAGGCCTTCCTAAATCAGGGACTTCCTCTCAGCACTATGCTAACAGGGGCTTCTTACAGAGGTCCCATTGTGTATAAGGTCCCCGTGGATCCCCCTCATACATGAAAGCAACACATGCCAGAGTTTCACCTGAGGAAAACACAGGGAAATATTTCAATCTGACTGAGCCAACTTCTTAGAAAAATAATGCATATTCTTAAAAGGGATGGCCGGATATTTTGCCAGTGGTAGGCCTTTACTCTCTGTTTCTTTGTGTCTGATGTGTGCGTGTGTGTGCATGTGCGTGTATAGTGTGTGTAATGTTTGAGAGGGTTGTGCATGTGGTTGTACAGTGTGGGGTGGGTGCACTCTGAGTGACCAAAAGCAATCTGCTCTGGTCCAATCAGTCTCAGTGCCTACCTTCACACATAAGCGGCAGGGCACTCAGGTCTGCCAGAGCGCACAGACCTATACATACACACACGTCTACACACTTGTCAAATTCACACACACACACCTTTCACAGACTTCACACACGCACCCTCCCTCTTCAAGGCACCCTGTGCGACCTCTCACCATTGGCCAAGTCCCGGAGCCCTCAGCATCTCCATCACGGCTGACGGGACCATTCGGGAAAGCAGGAGACGGAGGTAAGAGTTTTTGGTGCTATCTTCATCTTGCTGGTTGAATGGCTCTTTGGTGCAGAGGATTAGGCAGGAAGAGTTGCTCAGCTAAGCCTTCCAAAAACACTCCTATTCAGAGTTTTTAAAATGAGCTACAACACAAATAAGATGGTGTGGCAGGGGCTTTAATTTCTCTCCTGGGTTTACTTTTAAAGATATGCAGGTGCTTTCTAAGGGATTTTTTGGGGGGTCCATAATGTTTTACATGTTATTCAGTTGTGTTAGACAGGTGTTTCACAGTATCAAATTTAAGGCTTTTGATTTTTCCTTGTTTCTTCAAATGTCGTTACGTATTCCTGTAGTGTATGTATTTGTGAAAAATGACCTTAGTCTTTGAAATAACAGCAGGTGTTCATGAAAAAGTGCATAAATAGCACCTTTTCATAACATCTTTTGCTCAACTTCTGCAGAAAACGTCTTCTACTTTGCTGAGAATCTTAAATAATTGAAAACTTTCTGCAAATATTCTCCCTCAAAGTATAGTTACATACAAGTGCATACCATACTTTTCTCACTGCCTAGTCACCTGCTTTGATAGAGGATTTTTTCAATGCAAATTAAACCTTCTTGCAGTCCAAATAACCCAGATTGTTTTGCACCAACAGCCAAGTGGGCATCACTTATTTGCTTGTGGGTTTTGAGGGGAAAAGGCAGAATCACTGAATATCAGGAATGCCCAATGCAAAGCCAAGCATAACAGAGAAGTAGTCTGGAGGCTCCAGTCTTACATACATACAGTTTCCACACACTGTACACTGTGATGGCCTGAGTAAAAGCACACCTCTGTCTTTAGTATAGTTCGTTCAGTCTAGCTGTGCTGGATTGCGTAGCTCCATGACGGGCGGTTTGTTTAAATAGCAATGATAACCAGTCAGATCAAGTTATCTCAGCAGAGTGCACTAAGTTGATGTTGGAGGGACAACGAAGAGACTGATTTGCATATTAACTCTGTCCCTCTCATACTGACAAGGTTAGATTCATGACTTAAATAACCTAGGAAGCTGTGTTTTTTTTGGTTTTATATCTGTCCTCATCCCAAAATAGTAGCAGCAGAGGTTTCTCAGTTTTCTCTCACTGAAAGATAGGTGTGTTAAAACAGAGTGTGCATCTGTGAGAGGATTGCGTCTTTCCAAGTGTGTGCATGAACGTGGATCTCTGTGTGTATGTGTGTGTGTGTTTGAGTGTCGCTGCTGCTGAATGAAGCTTTTCCTTGCAGCTGTAACTCGCTGCCATCCTGTCCACAAACCTCGGTGGAATTTGGAGTTTGAGTGCTGAGACAGGCAGCAACCGGCCCTCATAAAGGCCCTCTGTGAAGGGTGAGGGGTCGATTCAGCTTAGAAACCTGTCTCTCTCTCTCTCTCTCTCACACACACACACACACACACACACACACACACACACACACACACACACACTTGTTGCTCTCTTGCTGCTCTCTTCTACTCAGTCCTTTCCTCGCTCTCTCCATCTAACCCTGAGGGCCAACATCTTGTCTACTATCTTCGTCAAATTCTTCTTCTTCTCTTCCCTTACGCTCCTTTCTCTGTGATAGCCTACAGGACTCTCTTTAATCTGTAAAAATATATCAGTTCCAATGTGACTACACCTGCTATTAGTGTTTCGAACATTGACACACTAGCATACTGACAAACGATTAAAGTCGTAAGCCCACTGTCTGTGGTGCCAGCTAATTAAGCACTAATTAGCATATGTTAATCTTATTAGTGCTTCCCACTTTAGAATAATACTTAAGAACTGACCAACCTTGGTGAACTAAGTAGACCTGTGCAGAAGATTATGAACAGCAGCTATCGTATCTAGGCCAGGGCTAATGATAAAAATTACACATACTAATTTTGATTTTCCACTTTTAGAGTATCCCATTATATGATCAAATATCCCCAAAATCTTTACTTCAGCCATAAATACCACAGGCTGAAAGTGAATTTCTAAAATTCTTTAGCCTTAATGAGACTAAACAAAATCCTGTCCTGGTTCATTATCAGATCAACTCTGACTTTTGACCTTTGACATACCACAGACGAGTACCTATTTAAGCCAAGATGGTTGCTCCATGGAAAAGAAAGCCTCTGGCTAAAGCAAAGCAGGAGGCCCTCATATTTTGATCCCCTGAGCTGTCTGCACCATGATAATGAATTCATTGACCTTACAGATGGAACCCAAAGTCAAGCTTTGGTGTGCAGCACTGTAGACTGGTTATCCTTCCAGTATCTCGAACTGGTTATGGAGTAAGGTTCAAAGGCATGCTCTGCTGTGCACCGACAGCATATGGAACTATATTTTACTACACACCATGTTCACATTACTCACAACAGATGTCTTTGTACTGTAAAAATGAACCAGTTTAAAAGGGTTTTATTTAAGGAAACCTCTTAAAATTTGCTGTCCACGTCTTTTTTCGTGTCATTTTTTACATTTTGCAAGTGACAATAAACTACTAAGTAAAAAAAGTCACCATGTGAATGTGTAATTTCCCTGTAATGTGCTATACTTCACATACGTCTGTAAAATCTTTTAATCACACATTCCCCACTGACTTTGTGACTCTGCCCTCATCAAGGTGGACTATGAGGATGCTTGTGCGGCTTCTGTTCGGACTCTTCGTCCTCAAAGCGGCGGTGGCCAGCCCCAGATTTTCCCGGCAAGCGCACTTAGACACATACAGTAGCACTAACTATGATGACAATTTCAATTTGGAGAGTGACTATGAGGATGTCCTGACAATTGGTGAGCCTCAGGTAAGAAACACAATTTCTTTTTTGAGTTTATGCAAGAGAAAATGTATGTTTCAGGCTTTTAAACCCCTTCCAGACTCTTTTGCCTTTAATCATAAAAATAAATAGGTCACCTTAAACTTTTTACTCTAGAGCAACCGCTATAAAGGCATTTTCACAGACATGGAATTTATTTCATTTAGCAGCATGTGGTCTGTTGAATTTATTGCCGATTCTCAAAAACATTTAGAAGACACATGTCCTCTAGTCTGTGTGTAAAGATTGTGCGACAAATTTTATGCTGATTGATTACTGAAAAAACTTGAGAAGATAGACAGAAAATATGAATCATATTTTATCACATCAACATGACAGACAGCTGATGTTTTAAAATATAAAGGCTGCTGGGACAATTTGATTTGAGGTCACCAGGTTCACTGAGCACAGAGGGAACCGGCTGCTGTCCAGGAGCCACTGGGAAGCTAAATGTTTTCCAGATTTATGCGTCCAAAATAATTTTAGACATTGCAGCCACCAGTTTTACTTACATATTACTGATGTCCAACTGCAGCTGATGCACTTTGAACTGTTGACTGTTTTGCTTATTGTGTAGAAGCTGATTTCAACCTTATTTTATGTTTGCCTTTTCAAGCAGATACATGTAAGTAACAGGTAGAGGGAAAGGGCAAACACAGCTAAAGCTTTATCTGCTTCCAACAGATCTTCATACAGATTTCGCAGGTGCATGTCAGTCCTCTGGAGGCTAGACAGCTGGAATCTTTACTAAAAGCAGTGACTAGATGACCTTCAGTAACGAGAAAACCCCTAGGTGTTTTCTCGTTACTGGAAGTTTCTATGCAGGAGAGCGGCTTTTAAAGATGAATGGAGATCGGTAATGGCTACAAAGGAAAGAAGTGAATTCAAGAAGTGCCCTTCAAATCTCATATCACAGCTCAAGCTGAGAGTGATGTGGCAAGCCTTGCAGACACAGTGGGATTGAAAGCTATAGCCAGAATTCATGTCAATTTATTGTTCTTTGTGACAAGGAAATTAGTCCAAGGCAGTGTCAAAATGACATCAGATTTTCAGCTGGCTCCCTCTGAGCCAGTGACTTAAATCAAACCTGATGTGAACTGCACTTACAAAACTGCTCTTATCTAAGGTCTGCTCCACAATCCAGCTTATGAAAAGTTTTTTGTCATCCACCTCCATAGAAACTAGTGCCACCCAAGCTTTTTAGCCTTAATCAACTTCACTGGCATATTTTATGTGTAGTTTTACAGCTCAGAGTTACATTTGGAGCTGCTGGGTGTGAGAATGTTTTCATGTGTTGTAAGAGAATGGCTTTGATAATGTCTGCGTTTAATAAAATCGGAAATTACTCAGCAAGTTTCAAGAGGTTTTGTGGAAGTCTGTGTGGGTCGGAAGAGGAGAAGCAGTACAAAGTGCATTTAGAGTAACTAGAATCTTTTTTCATGCTGTCCACGCTGAATAAACATAACGCTTTGACTCATAATTGCAGTTTTTAAGGGTCTCTCATTTAGTTTTGTTGAGAGGGCAGATCATCTGAGAGAGCGCTCTTCTAAAAAGAGTGAAGATTTAGGAGAGGTTTTTGTATTTTTCACACAAACATCAGATCTCATGGGAGAAATGGAGCGATGATGAGCTCCATGCCTCTGGAATGCTGAGTCTTTACTTTCCACGGCCAGCTCTCGTTTGGTATTTCTCTCCTTTCTCCTCGGGGCTTGTCTCTTTTGAGAGAACTAAAGGCTCATCTACTTTGTTATCCAAGCCAATCTTGTTCAGTCTGCTGCATTCAAATACTCTGGACATGCTTTAATCACCAACTTTGGATTCATGCAGGCACATTAGTTTCATCATGATCTTCAGTCTGCCTCTTATCTATTTTCTCTTGAGTTTTATAACATCTTAGGAGCTGGATGGTTCACTTAATTAGAGATTCTATTTATTTGTTTTGTTTTTTGTTACCATCCAGAGGTAGGATGTAAGTTTTGAACAATGGTAAATGACACATAACTGTTCAGAGTGTAAAGAAAATATGACTTATTGCTTTCATGTTTCATGTAAGGTAAGAAGACCAATGCCAGGCTAAAGCTTAACCGATTTAAGCTTTTTTGGCTATTGTCATATATTTTTTTAAAAACCATGGAACATCCTGGAATATGGAAACAACATAGTGAGCAACATTTTCTCATTGACATCTAAACAATCAGACCTCTTTTGGCAGCCAAAGGTTTGACCCCCGCTGGCCATTAGAAGCAAAGCAGGTTTAATTGAATTTTTGAATGCACTACCTTGCACAACCTGTGTTCTCTCCACGTTTCAGACCCCATGTCCATCTTTAATTTACAGTCTATGTGGCGCTGCCAGCAGCTTGTCAGGGCAAAGACGACAATCGGAAGAGTAATAGATGGCATAGATAGCATAGCTCTGTCCAAAAGTAGGACAGTTTTACCAACCTGCACTCTAGAAGTAACTATATGAAAAATGATTGATTCAAAAAGTGTAACTAAGATGGAGTATTATCTAAGCTTTGGAGAATAATCCAATTACCCAGAATGTGACTCTGCTCCTTTAATAGACATTCTGCATGTAGACGGTGTGCTATCTTTTTCACTCAGCAAGAGTTTAAGTGAGTTTAACTCATGTGGCTTTTCGAAGGACTAGATATTACATACATACATACATGCTGCACCCCATATGACTAAGAGCCTATGGCTGGTGTCTATGGAGTTTTCAGTACTTTTCCAAACTGCTCACTTATTTTGTGTCGATAAGCTGGAGGACATTGGTGAAATTTGTTTGGAAAGATTTCATCTGACTCTCAAACATGTTTTACTTGCCTATGAATATATTCATATATACTAATATAACAGTAATACCCTTAATTTTGGCTTGGTCGGTAATTTTATACATTTTGGTTTTGGCTTAACGCTCCACATTTCTCCTTTCACATCCCTTATTCCCCAAAATCCAGGATTTCAGAAACTTTTTTTCAGTGTTGTTTGGTAGTTAATTATTCTCAATAATTTGACTGCATTCACTTGACATACATTTCCTTTGATGCCTCTTAGCTTACAGATATCTGATTACTCTGGTTAAAACTAGATAAAAAGGCTGAGAAATGGATCTGTGCAGCTACCATGTGAGTCTTGGTTCCACAAGGACCATTCCCTTTTTGAAGGACTGACTCAGCCTTGTGGGGCGTTATACAGTGTCAGGTACTACCTGTGTGAAGTGTGTGGGAGTTCACTGCCCTCATCTGGAGAAGAATAGAACTGCAGGTTTCTTGAGCTGTCAGAAGAGCAACTGCAAAGACTGTAAATATAATTAAAATAGCAAATGGCTATACCCGAAGCCTTTAATGAAGGAACCAAAAGGCACAGCTGTGTATAAAGCTTTCTTGGTTTGGCAGAGCTGTCTCATTTTTATAATTTCCCCAATTAAAATTGCCTGTTTGATCAACAAAGGTGCTAAGTCTTGATTTACAAAGTAATTTGGTATTGTGAAACTTGTGACATTTTCAGAGTTGTCGCTGCATGTTCCTTTTACAGTCTTTAAGCTGCCCAGTGTGCTGGATTATGTAAAATATGCAGTGCCTTTTTACTATAGAAAAAAATACTGTAATATTTACTGTGATGTAGTATCGCTGCTTTACTGGTCACTTACTAGCAGATATAAAACAGAGTTCTTGGCTGAATCTCTATAAAGTCTGAGCAAAGGTTATTTTGCATTTTACAAACTGGACAGCACTGGATGTTTTTTTATGAATCTGAGCTAGATAAATAGTGCACGCTCTGCAGTGGATAGTTTCTTCAGCACAATTTGCTGCCATCTAGTGGTTAAAATTTAAGGTTATGAATCAAAAAATACTTTCCTGTTTATGGAGATCTTTGTTGGTGTCTTTTCTTAAATCTTTGGATCATTATTTTTTTGTCTGCTCAACCTCTCCTCTAAGTTTCACAGAATTCGACACTGCTGTCTTTACGCAGTCTTGTTAACAAACAGGCAAACAAACAGCAATTATCAGGTGCCTGTGCGCTGACTCTGAGCTTAGCACAGGAGTACTAAATGTGAAAATAACTGGGAAAAATATGAGTGCTGAGATAGTAAACAGAGCAGGGTTTGCACATCACCAGTGCTGAGGCATATTTTGTATGCCAAAATGCCAAGTACAGTTAGGTCCTTGATTTGTCCACAACAGTTGTAGTTTTGCCTCTTTACACGGCCACAGTGGAATTTAAAACAAACAGTCAATATCTGATTGCAGTCCAGACTTTCAGCTTCTTTTCAGTAGGTTTTAGGAAAATTTTTCATTTAAATTTTATGAATTGCAGCTGTTGTTATGCATAGTTTTCATAGATAGGCTCAGAAATCATTAGAAAATTAACTGATACGTGACAAATGAAGAAGAAAAATAAACATGATCAAGAAAGAGAGAAACAGCTCATGATCCAAATATTACCATATTATGTTTCAAACATGGCAGAGGCAATCTTATGCCATGGGCCACTGGTTTGTATTGATGATGTGGCTGCTAATAGAAGTAGCAGGATGAATTATGAGATGTAAAGGACCATACTCATTGCACATATTCAGACAAATCCCTCAAAACTGGTTAGACAGTGCTTCAAAATAGACGAAGCCTCAAAGCATAATTCAAACCAAGAGTTTCCCGAGGCAAAGAAATGGGATATTTTTCAATTTTTCAGTCAGTCATCTTATTTCAAACGAACACGGTATGCGTTTCAGTTAATAAATACAAAACTGAGTGAAGAAAACCCCACAAACAAGCAGCGACTAAAAGTGGATGAAAAGGGGCCTGTAGATAATCTCATGGGAGGAAACTGCAAATGATTTTCATCCAAGCATTCAAAACTATTTTTAAATTTAAAATGATGTATCTTCTGTCAATTATATAACTATGCATAAGGTGACTGTAAAATTCCTGCACAGTTAATATAAACTTTCTGTTAAACCCCCTGAATTAAAGTTGTCACATATTGATTGTTTGATTTAAACTCCAACAGCTGATGTAAAGAGGCAAAATCAGAAAAAAATTGTCTAACAGCACTACACAGTTTTGTCCCCATGCAAGTTTTTGTCACATAGAGCCATAAAAAAGTAACTTTTCTAATGCTTTATTTCATCTTTTATCATGTTTATTTTAAAATGCAGTTCTCATATATTTTTAACTCACTGCTGTTGTCTTTCCCTCAGATAGAGATTGGAACACTGCCCCCACCTGAATATGAGGGCTCACTGGAAACACAGAACGAAGTGGAGCAGCCGAAGGAAGAAGAAGAGTTGCCTCTAAAACCCCAGCTAGTCCCTCAGGGTTCGGGAGGATCTGGGGTTCTCATGGGCCTAGACACACAAAAAGGTCTGAAAAAAGGAGAAAAAGTCTTTATCATAGAACTACTTCATGAGTAAGTTCAGTAAATATGAAAGAGAAAGGGCCTTGTCCAGCATTGGGCCGTTGGATGTGTGAAAGCAGCATTACTTAACTTAGAAAGAAGGCACTAATCTTTCCTCGAAACACATCATCCTCATCGTCTACCTGTGATAATCAGTTCCATGTGCATGTCATCCATTTAACTTGCAGTCAGTGGTTAAATGTGCCCATTTGTCATCTATTGTTGCATGTAATCATCATCATTGTGAACTGTGTTAATCTCATCTATCTGTTCATTAATACCTAATCTTGTCTCTAACAAGAGGTGGAGCTTCGTCTGACACCCACTGATAGACCTCGTATCATTCAGGATTTCTGGATCTCTGTAGAGTCTGGGGCCTCTGGGGCCTCTGGAGCTTCTGGGGTCTCTGGGGCCTTTGGAGCTTCTGGAACTTCTGGGGCCTCTGGGGCTTCTGGGGCTTCCGGAGCTTCAGGGTCTGGAGGCTCAGGAGAGATTCTGGTCTCTAGCGCCTCAGGAGGCTCTGGAGGCTCTGGAGACATTGTGCTGATCTCCGGAACCTCAGAGGAGCTCCACATCTCGGGAGAATCCAGCCAATCATTGATATCTGGCAGTCTCTTGATATCTGGGGATCTCTTGGGATCCGGAGATTTCATGGGATCTGCTATTTCTGGAACCTCGGCCGATTTTGCCTCTGGAGGTTCTGGAATTTCCACTGAACTCCATTTGGGTTCTGGAGGGTCAGGAGACCAGTCTGGCTTTGAGGTATCCGGAGATCTTTTGAGCTCAGGGGCTTCTGGAATATCTGGGGTTTCTGGGGACTTTGAGTCCGGGGACCAAAGGATAACATTTATATCTGGAGGTTAGTATCGTTGCACCATATTAGTATCTAACTTGTCATTTTTTGTGGGATTTATGTTGATTGTCCTAAATTTCATTTAACTGCTTTGCTTTTTAATGTAGTTAAATGTTGTTCATAATTATTTGTGCTACTGGACTTTTTTACTCATAACCACTTTCTTTCTAACATTTTATCTCTCAAGAGTGATTGATTGGTTAATGGGTTGATTCATTGTCCATCTTACCTTTCACCTCCCAACGTTACCACTCCTAACACCAAACATTGGCTCTAACAAGAGGAGGAGCTGCCAATCACTCCAGACATTATTGCCCAGGAGACACTAGGTACTTCTGGGGAGTTCTCAGGAATCCCAGAGGTTTCGGGAGATGATGGAGTCTCTGGAGAAGTATCCGGAATCTCTGGGATTTCTAGTGTCTCTGCATCTGGAGAAACTGAGGTCCCTGTAACTCTGCTCCCCACCACTTTTGAAGGTCAGTACCAAATCTAGACTTGGGGAAGACAGGCAGTACTAAAGGCTATGTCTCACATTATCAGCAGTCTCCGAAAGTTGATTCTGTTCATCTGGACTTAGCGTTTTGTGGGAGAAACGTTTCGTCACTCATCCAAGTGACTTCTCCAGTCTCCGAAACGTTTCTCCCACTAAACGCTTCGTCCAGATGAACAGAATCAACTTTTGGAGATTTACTTTCCTGGATGATTGAAAATGCATCAAGACATTATCAGCATTGTTTTTAGGAAAAGGATAATTATTAGGGCTCAGAACCCCAAAGCAGAACAGAAACAACAAGGATATAAAAGTTTACTTTAATAAAAAATGTTCAAGGTTCCCATAAACTATGCAAGGTTAAAAAAAATGGGCACAGTTGTGCAGAACGGGAAAATCGATTATAGAAATACTTCCTGTGGCTTTCCCTGAACGTTCTTTCCTTCATAGCTTAGTATCCCACCATAGAAGCCACCTGAATTTGTTTCTGTCGGTTTGTTCTTTACTAACACCCACACTGTTTGCGACCACTCTGCAAATCATATTTCATGTTATTAACATCAGAGTCTTATTTTCATTTGTCATTTAAAGTCATAAACTCTTGCTTAACACTGCTAAAACACTGCGGCAAACCATGGGCTACTGTTTGCCAGATGTCTTGTCCCATGTCTATGGTCTAACCTTTATTTTTAACACCTAATCTTGTCTCTAACAAGAGGAGAAGCTGCTTCCACCTACAACACAAAGCCCTCAAGAGGGTGCTGGCACTGTAGAAGGGTCAGTGAGCTCTGAGCTGCTAGAGCCCAGTGAGCCTGATGAGCCAGACAAGCCTGAAGAGCCTGTGGTTGACAGACGAGGTCAGTATAGAACAGATGGGAATGTTATATAAAACCTATATCCCCTTTGGACTTGGAAAGTTCTGGTGTGCTTGGACCTGATTTTTATTAACTTTGACCTGTGGATGGTTGTCTCTGGAGGATTCGGGACTTTTTAACAAGCTACTATGGCATGTCTTCCTTTTTCTGTTTTCCTTCTTCTTGTCCATGTATTCCAGGTATGCCCATTTGCTTGCTGTGCACATGCCTTGGTGGTTCAGTCTACTGCGATGACTTGAATCTGGATAGTGTGCCCCCTCTCCCCAAAGACACCACTCACTTCTATGCTCGCTACAACAGAATCAAAAAGATCAACAAGTCTGACTTTGCCTCCATGAGTATGTTTCCATTTTGAATAAAAACACATCAGTATTAGTTCAGAACCATACGCAAACTTAAATGCAAGCTTCATTTTTCTTCCGATGTGTTTTCCCACCTTCCTTCAGACAAACTGAAGAGGATTGACCTGACCCACAACGAGATAACATCCATTGAGGACAGAGCTTTTATGGGTCTGCCTGAACTGGAGGAGGTGGTGATTCGAGAAAATCACATCTCCCAGCTGCCGTCTTTCCCAGAGACTATGACCCTGATTGATGCCAGCCACAATAACATTGGCTCAAAGGGTATTCATAGAGAGGCATTCAAAGTACGTACACCTCTTTTACTTACAGTTGGACTCGCACATATCAAGTAAAACTGTGTGTATTTGCTCACGACAAGAAATTAAAATAACATTTTCTTAGTCATTTGGAAGTCATCGATGACCTGGATGACTGAGAACCTTCACAGACATAGTCATTTGGAAGGAGCAATAGTTTGTCAGCCACACATGTATTATCTCAGCTGAATGCAGGAAACTGTGTTTTTGGATGGAAACAGAATAAAAGGAAAGTAGCAGGATAAGAGTACAACTAAATTAGCAAAATTCTAATGTTAAGCCAGTGTTTGAAATCCAGTATTGTCATGAGTGCCTTAAAATGTCTTTCACAAAGGTAATATCTAAGGTTCTTTGCCATTAATGATTATCTTTCCTTACATTAAACAGGATATGACTGGCCTGCTGTACCTGTACCTAACAGACAACCACATTGATTATATCCCAGTGCCTCTACCAGACACCCTGCGGTCTCTGCACCTACAGGTATATCCTCTGGCCAAACCATAAAATCCATCCATCCATCCATCCATCCTCTTCTCTAATTCAGCAGTTTTAACTCGCTGCTTCTGCATTTTGACTTTGTTCATGCTCTTGTTGTTTATTTCAAGTAATATTTATCTAATTTTAGGACCTGATCCCAGTGTAGTGTAGCTCAATGACAACAAATCACATCTTTCTATTTTTAGTTCTATTTCTATTATCTTTATTATAATTGTTAGCTTTAATATGCATAAAGATTTTATCTTAGTTAAGGGAATTATTGACCGTTTAAAAAACTCTGTTTACGACATTTTCCCATTTCGCATTATTAAGGAGGGATTTAATGTAATTGGGCCTAGTATATTATCACTAATCAATCATTCTTTGTCACTGGGTTGTGTTCCGGCTGCCTTTAAACATGCCGTAGTGAAACCTGTTCTTAAAAAGCGTTCCCTAGATCACTCAAACCTCGCTAATTACAGACCTATCTCCCAACTTCCGTTCCTGTCAAAAATCCTTGATAGTCCTATCACAACTTCAGACCTATCTGAATGCGAATAACATCTGGGATCAATTCCAATCTGGGGTTACACTGCACCATAGTACGGAAACGGCACTCTTGAGGGTCTTCGATGATCTTCTTTTAATTACTGACTCTGGGCGCACCGTGGTCTTAGTTTTGTTGGACCTGTCCTCTGCTTTTGATCTGGTGGAACATAATATCCTCTTAATGAGGCTTGGACATCTGGTTGGCATTACGAGTATGGCCCTTAGTTGGTTTAAATCTTACTTATCAGAGAGGTCCTTCTCTTTCACGATGGGTACCTACTCCTCTTCCATTGCCCCCGTTACCTGTGGTGTCCCTCAGGGGTCTGTGCTGGGTCTCTATGTTACCTCTTGGTCGTATTATTGAAAAGTACAAACTCTCTTATCATTGCTATGCAGATGTTATTCAAATTTATTTTGAATTGACTGAGGATGATACTTCATCGATGCTTCGCTTCTTCCATTGTATAAGACAAGTTAAATACTGGCTGCAGAGCAATTCCCTTATCCTTAATGACAAGACAACGGAAATTGTAATCTTTGACAGTCATACCCCTAGAGCCCATCTAACTGGTGTCCTCGGGCCCTTCACTGATTATCGTTCCGACTCTGCGAGTAATTTGGGTGTTTACCTGGACGGCTCCTTTAAGCTTGTAGAGCATGTGTCCTCTGTTATTAAATCTTGTTTCTATCAACTTCGTTTAATTTCTAAGGCCAAGCCAAACTTACAACGTGAGGATCTAGAAAGGCTTATCCATGCCTTTGTCACATCCAGGTTAGACTATTGCAACTCCCTATACACTGGGCTTCATTCTACCCTTCTTCATAGACTGCAACTCGTCCAAAACGCCACGGCTCGCCTTCTAACTGGTACTCATAGGTTTGAGTCTGTCACCCCAATTCTCACTGGCCTCCACTGGCTTCCAATTAAATACCGCATTGATTTCAAAATCCTACTGCTTACTTATAAAATGATAAATAATATCGCACCTAGCTACCTTATTGATCTCCTTAGCGTGTATACTCCCAGTAGAACACTGAGATCGTCTGACCAATTGCTTTTGGTGCAACCTAGGTCACGGCTGAAAACTTGTTTTTATCGTTAAGTCTTGCTTGCTTATGTGCGTACTTGTGTACAGTACTTGTATGCTCGGTTAATCAATGCCTCCCAGCTGCTAGCTTATCTGCCTTTGTACTTTACTACTGTTTGATTGGATTATGTGAAGCACTGTGGCTACCTGTTGTTTTAAATGTGCTATACAAATAAAGTTGTATTGTATTGTTTCAGCGTAACAATATTCAAATGATGCACGAGGACACGTTCTGCAACCTCCAAGATTTCAGCTACATCAGAAGAGCACTGGAGGACATCCGTCTGGACGGCAACCCCATCAACCTCAGCAGAACCCCACAGGCATACATCTGCCTGCCCCGTATACCCATCGGGGATCTCATTTAACCACACAAATACAACCACACGCACACATATTTGTACATATTAACAGCCCACATACGATTCATTCACTTGTCAATCCAAAATCTCATTTACAACAGTGCCTTACCAATAAACTGTCATACATGCTGCTGGATATAACACCATTTAGATTAATTATCAGCCTTAAAAAACAGAAATTAGTGAGTGCAATTCTGCTGACCAAGCACATATTCACTGCTCTACTCCATCTTCATCCCGTTGTTCGGATATTTATCCCAGGGCACACAACAGCACGCGTACACACCAAAAGATATGGATACTCATATCCATATCCACACACACAGACATTCACACAAGAATGTTGTCAAAAGCCAAACTGTCCCACAACTTTATTAAAAGTGAACAACGGGCAGTATTCACAGAAAAACAAATCTGTTAAAAGCCCTCAAATGTCATGTATGTGTTCGTTTTCACAGTTGGCAGAAAAATGACAACATTCTTTAAATGTATTTGTTTTGTAAAAAAAATATAATGTTATTAATAATAAATCTAATAACTTTCGGCAATGTATACTAGAATATAGTTATCAAAGCTGGAGCTTGATAAAAAGTCAATTGAGTATCTAATGCAATAAAATGTGCATTTTAAACACACTCAGTGGTTGTAAAGTCTGTACTGTAATATAAAAAAATATATATTCTGATCATGAAAAAGGTGTGTTTTTTTTTAAGTGAACTGCAATTTTTCGGTATATTACACTACAAAAAAGTGATGTTTTAACCATGCACAATAGCTGATACCAACAACTCTGATGTGTAGAGTCAGTCAACAAAACACTATTGTTTAATATGGGGACGGGAAGCTGTTGATTTTGATTGTGGATGGGGTAAAGAAAAATGCTAACAGGTTGCTATTGTGTGCTCTGTATGGAATAACCACAAGTGAATAAAGTCATTTTGAAGACCTCTCCAAACTAGGAGTGGCTCAACGTTTTTATTGATAACTAGTAGGTGAATTATTAATGTGGATCTTTAATTTTATGAGGGCAAATGAGAACTGGGAACTGCTCAGAAATGTGCCAAAAAAGGGGGGAATTTTTGCAGATAAAGCCAGTGTATGCAAGGATTTTAGAGCTGAGATTTTCTCAAAAATTCTCAATAAGCTTCTCAAACAAATGAATTAGCCTCTGTTTCCTGTCCATATCGCCTGATTCTTTCACATTGCTGCTGTTGCTGCTGCTTTCTTCTGTAACCTCTTCCTCAGACCCTTCTTTTTCTTCGGAAAGGCTCATCAGTCTAGCTTTCTCTCGCTCCAGAGCCAGCCGGTCCCTGCGCAAGGCATCCCTGTCCCTCTCCACCATCGCCCTCTCCCTCTCCATTACTGCCTTTTCTCTGTCCAGCGCCGCCCTCTCCCTCTCCAGCACGGCTCGGTCTCGATCCAAAACTGCGATCTCCCTGTCCAGCACTGCTCTCTCCCTCTGCAGCACCAGACGCTCCCGTTCCATCACTTCTTTCTCCCTTTCTGCCACCTGTTGCTCACTGCACGTCGTCCTCCTCTCGTCCTCCACCTCTTGTAAGATGCAGTCTATATCCTGAGGTCCCTCCTGTTCCGCCACCACCTCCCCATCCTCAATCCCATTAAGTGGAAATTCAATCTCAGTTGGAGCAGCCACAATAGAAGACTTCACCATTGCGGCTAACTTCTTCTTTTTGGGTTTGATCAAGAACTCCCCATTGTCTTTGTTGTGGGGGAAGGCCTTGAGAATGGGGGCGCTGCCCTCCAGCCGACCCGCCATTGCATTGTCCATCAAGGAGAAATAAGGCCATACATCAGGAAACACTTCCACCCCTTCTGGGGGATGCTTTAGCTCCTGAGGAGACAGAAAGAGGGCAGGAAGTAAAGAGAAAGCTTTGTCAAAAAGCTTTATTTGTCCAAGTGAAAAGAAAACAAACAAACAAGATGCAGGATACCTTGTATCTCTTCTTCAGGTTTTCCCATTTTTTAGACGCTTGATGATGGGTCATCTTACAGTGTAAGCCCATATGTTTCAAAATGGTCCTAAAAATATAATATGCCACGTCTTGTGATTAAAACAATTTTATACTAACATCAAAAGCAACGATGAACCATTATCACTGGTAGTAATAGTAAGATGGGGCAAAGATAAAGGTACAATTTTTTTTAAGTATTTCTGATTCCGAAATCTATATAGTTGGCATTTTTCAGTGTCTGGGAACTTGAAATTATTGGCTTACCTCCATGCCCACATAGAAGTATTTCTCTTTCCAGAGAAGAGGTAGGTATTTGAAACCCTCAGCTTTACAAAGTCTTCGATTTCTTTTTTGCTCACTGAAAACGACAGAGAGAAAAATTCTATAAGTTACAAATGAATATATGAGAGTGTGTGAAAAATGTATAATACTATATCACTATTTATTAATTAAATACACCTATTATTTAATAATATTTAATAATATTATTAAACAGACTTTTTATTTATTTATTTATTTATTTTTTTACAAATGCTGCATTCATGGTACATCGGAAAAGGTAAGCCTTTACTTGGACTTACGTCATTTTAAACGTTCGCTGGAAAAAGAAAACATGGCTGCTACCAGGATTGCGTTATTGATTTTCTACAAGAAAAACCTTGTCAACAGACATGTAATTCACTTAACAGAAAGAGGAAAAATAATCGAAAGGACGCAAAAATCATATCAATAATATTTCAGCCTTTCGACTCAATGGTGAAGAGAAACAGAAATATAAAGTGCCGAAGTCGTATTTAAAGATCATCTTTATTTTGGTTCTTCTATTAGTCGGAGTTCTGGAATTCACACCCTTTTCAGTGTCCGATGAAGGCAGCATAACTTGAACTTCTCACTTCCTACGTGCGCAAGCTAGCTCCAAGCTATAGTTAGCTTATTTAATCACTTTCTGTCGTTTGTCCTTACTTTTATATGTGAAATCCACGGGCGTATGCATATCGCAAGTGCTGCTGGTGTACTCGTGGTCTGCGTACTCCATTTTTCCTATTTCTCGTACTTGGTGTCAGCCCGTTTATCGAGCGTTCTTTGTAGGAAAAGACTCCTTGCCCCCGTTGTTGGTTCCTTGCGAGGGACCCTACATTCTTCCTCTCGTGTTTGAAAAGAGCGTACTACCGCCACCTGTAGACAGGGAGACTCCAGGGACAGAGTCAGCTCACTTTTATTTCATTTTATTTCATTTTAGTTTAGTTTAGCGTTAACAAAATGTATCTCATAATACACCATAGGAAAAAAAATCTATGATGTTATGTTGCAGATTTTAATACAGAGATAAACATTTTGCACAAGCAAAGATGCTGTTCCATTGTACGGGAGAATTGCATATTATTTTAATTCCGCACCTATCTTTATCCTTGTAACGGTGTTTGTTTATTGTTTGTTTCTCATCAGTTATCTGCTTCCCAAAGTGTAGAAAATACCAACACATGTTTACTACTGCCCATTAAACCTAATTCTCAAAAGCTGCTTAACACGTTTACTCTATTTTTTTTGGCAACTTTGTTGCATTGGGTAGGCCTTATTAAGATCACATTATTACCTAGTATATATAGTGCCAGCCTCTTGGCAATCAGATGTGGGAGAGGCTCTTCCAAAGGAAAACGAAAGTGTTTTGCAGAAAGCAGAATGGCCTCCTCCTGCCGTGAGTATCTTTCGCGCTATGTTCCTTGTAACATTTCTATATTTTACTGTTCATATATTTTATAAAGTCTGGTGGTATTTTGTTTACTGTTTGTTTATATTTCCCTTTAAATCACATGCGAATTATTTTTAACAGCTCTCATTCTATCAGAGTTTCCATAAAGATTTTCTGTGAGGTCAAACATGCCTAAAATGTGCAAATGTGCAGCATATTTAATATTTTAACAAGACCAATAGTCTAGATTTGAACTCTTATTCTGAGACACTGATTGTCATTGTATAGAATTAGACGTTTACTTTCTGTTTCATTTACTGTGAAGCTCGATTGCATAGAATGCCTACATAAAACCTGAAAGCTGGACTTTAATAGTTATGTTTTAATTCCTCATTTACATAATTTAATTAAAGTTAGTATGCATTTTTCTTTTATTTATACGTTTTTATAAACGTATATTATTAACATGTGTGAAACTCTTAATAGCATGTTTAACTAGCCAGCAGGGGGCAGCAGATAAACAAGTTATTTATTTGCAATACAAACCGGCACAGAAACTTTGTTTTCAGATTTTTCTAATAGTACCAGAAGAATTGTAAAAGTTATTTTATACATATATATAAAATAATTAACATACATTAGATAGAAAGGTGGAGCAGGTGAAAAAATAATAGCTAAACATAGTTCTAAAGTGAAATGGACAAAGCAGCTCAACAACAAGTGAGGGAATGCAGCTTTACAAGTTTTCAGCCTGCCTTTATTACCAACATATCGAAACTATATTGTCATACGTTATTTCAAAATAAAAAATACCGTAGTGTACAAAATTATTGAGCCACCCCTCACTTCTCAATAGTTTGCTTCCAAGGAGCCAGGCTGTTAAAGCGGTATTGAACAATGCTACTCTAGACTTTCTGATGGTTTTCCTTTGGACATTGGCTGCTTTATCACTCATTTACAGTCCAGGGCTTGTACCTGACCATTGTTTTTGTTTGTTAAGCCACTTAACATTGGCTTAACGATGTTAAGTCATTCCAGCAAACAAAAGGCGCCTAACTCAAGTTATGAATGTCATGTGCTTAAGATATTAAGGGTAAAATATTCGTTGATCCATCTGCTGTTTGCTGAAGCCTCATCACAAATGGTTTCAGCGGAAGAAGAAGCCATTTTTAAAGAACGGAAACAGTGAGAAAAGCCTGAGGTATGCCAAATTACATAACAACAGGGACTGAAAATCAGTGGCAACAGGTCTTAGAGAGTGATGAATCCAAGTTTGAAATCTATGTTTCTAATCATCATCAATATGTGCAAAGATCAAGAGAGAGATACAACTGTGAATCTGTAAAATATGCCGGAGGCTCTGTCATACTTCGGAGCTGCATGTCAGCCAGTAGTGTTAGGGATCTTGTCAAAATTGTTTCATCAATTTGAATTATGAACATAAGAAAAGTGCAGTCAGATTTAAATCCACCATGCAGTACCAGCTGATTGGCACTGGGTTTGTTTCTCAGCATGACAAAAAGCCCAAACACACTCAGTGTAGTAAAAGCTAGAAAAACACACAATAGACCAGCATCCCCAGAGCCCGGACCTCAACACTTTTGAAGCAGTGTGGGATCATCTTGACAGAAAATGGAACAAAAGGCTGACCAACATCCAAAGAAGAGATTTGAATGCCCTTCAAAAAGCCTGGAGAGCTTTTCCTGAAGACTATTTAAAGAAATGGAAAAAAAAGGCTTCCTACCAGAGTTAAGGCTGTGTTAAAGTATAAAGGTGGTAAAATCAAACATTGACAATTTCCATGCATATTTTCACACATTTCAATAAGTTTCTGGAACAATTTCCCCACTCTACTAGCAAAAGCTAAACAAATTAGGGGTAACTCAAGACTTTTGCTTAGTATCATATGTACTTTAACATCCTCAGCTCTGACAAGAAAGGTCTACCACAAAGCCCTGAGCATTAGTGAGATCAGATGTTGTTTCTGTGCCTTCAGAGTCTGGCTCAGAGTTACCCTTTGTAGTTGAATTCAGGCCTCAATGCAGGTCGAGTTCCACAGTGAACTGTATGTTTTGTTATGCTTTTCCATTCTTGTAGCAAAGTTGCCCAAAAATATGTACCTGTATTTGTTCATATTGCTTTATATATTCAGGGATGTATCTTTAGTAAATAAAGAATTTAGCTGTATATCGGAGGAACAAAATATGAAAGCATATCATGCATTTTTTGTTGTTGTTTTGTCCAGAGGCTGACGATGAAAGCACTTATGGTTCTGATGTCAGCAATGAGTCAGACAGCGCTGAACCATCAGATGAGGAAGACAATGAGGAAGACGATGAGGAAGACAATGAGGAAGACAATGAGGAAGATGTTTTACCCTGCAAGTTTTACAACAAAGGAAACTGTAGGGACGGAGAAAGGTGTGCTTACCTACACGTTTGCAAGTACGCTCTTAAAGGAAACTGTCGTTACGGCTCCAAATGTAGACTAAACCACACTGTAAGTCAAGGTGTGCCCTCCAGTGCAAGCGGCAGGACTCCGGATCGGTCATCATCTAGTCATGGTGAGTATTTGCTTTTGGGGTTTTCAGTTGTTTGTTTTATCGCCACAAGACGTTTTTTCTTTTTTTCTTTTTTTTTTAATTTAAGTGAGAAAGATTATTCACAAGTGAAAAACATTCAAGACAGTTTTTAGTCTTCCCAGGACAGGATGTTCCACTAAATTTCCCACAATGTCAAACTGTGCAATGCTCAAAGAAACCAAACAGCTACATTTCAGGCTTGCAGGCCTCTACAGTTCTCAGTAAGCATGTTAAATGTTAAATTTCACGAAAGCAGAATTAGAAAAAAACTGAATAGTATGGGCGTTTTTCAGGAGAACTTCTTCTCCTGTGGTGGAGGGCTGATAATTTGTTCTTGTTTTACCGCCACGAGACCTTGGGCGCCTTGCAGCCCCTGAATCGACCATGAACTCCTCTGTTTATCAAAGTATTTTACAGTCCAGTGTGAGGCCATCTAGCTGACAGTTAACACTTTGGTCTCCAACAATATCAGCTAGTTCCTAACAAATAGCTGCAAGAGCCACATTTTACCTTATACATATATTTACATGTTCGAGCCATATTAGAGCAGCTTTAATGTCCAGTAATAAGTCACCAATTACAATGTAATATATAATGTCTTTTTGTTTTGTTTTTCTAACCAGACCAGAGGCTTACTGATGGCCGACGCTACCAGTGGCAGCTCAATAACGGAAGAGGCTGGAAAGATGTTGAAAATGATCACATCCTTGAGGCCCAGTATTCGCTGCCCCACACCAAAAGCATCAAAATATACAACACATCATACGGGTAAGCAATGAGTTTATGAAGAACTTTTTATTTCCAGGCACACTGTAGTCACTACATGCTTCAACTTTCCTCTCTCTACAGGGCGGTGAGCATAGACTTTAAAAGGATGAAAGTTCTTGGGAAGAAATTGAGAGTGAGACGCCTGGATGACGGTAACACTGCGTGGATTTGGTACTGCATGTTGGGTCGTCGTTGGATCAAGTATGGAGCCAAGGTAGATAGCAACTAGATCTTTGCTTAAGTTAATGGAAATTGTTCTCCTTTGTCTGTTTGGTAATGATTCTTCTCTCCCTCGCGGACAGGATTCAAAGGGCGTCTCCACTCCTGTGAAGAGCTCCGACATAGAGGAAAAGTTTCAGAGAAATCCAACGAGCTCCTTTACTTTTAACGTCAATGGTGAAACTTTGGAGCTCAAATTTAAAGGTGAAGTGAATTCACTAATCTGTAAATTTGTAACACCCTTCCAGCTAAATTCCAGCTTTTTCTTAACAGTCATTAGCCTATTCCTTATTTCTGTTTGTTTGCTTAGAAATGCAACAGGTGAGTAAAAACAGGAAGAGGAAAGTCACCCGTCGACCTACGTACCGGCAACCACAAGCAGTCAGGGGGTGAGTGTTAATTTTCCTCAAGGATTTTTGTTCAGTTAAAAATTGTCAAGAAGATAAGATGAGAGAATTTAACATAGTTTTCTGTTTTATGAAATATTTTTGATTTTGTTGTCGCAGAGTTGCTCTAGCATCCTCAGGTTTCCAGAATCTTAGCTTGGGCACTAAGCCACAGTGGGAATTTGAAGGCGACAGTGGAAAATGGCACGAGTTCAAACACAGGGTATGTCATCTGTGCAGTGGATGTTATTTTTAGGATTATTCAAAGTACAATTTCTGAGTTATTGCATTGACATAAATCATCACAGTTTGTCTGTGGATTTTGTCTTAACAGAAAAGGACTTCCACTGACTGCTCAGTAACCAGTGATGACATTGAGAGCAAGTACCAACAAAACAACAAAGGCACCATGCCCTTCACAGTGGCAGGACAATCCTACAATCTTGACTTTGGAGGTTGAGTTTTTATATTTTAATC